TCTATTTAGCCCTCCTTAATGGAACAGAGACTCTATCTCATCCATGCTGTGCTGAGAATATGGGGGTTCAAATTACCCGTGACCTGACTCATTTTCAGATCAGAGCTTCTGCAGCATGAGTACAACCTGCTGATACCACCTTCTTCCCAGCTCCTCAAGCAAGGATGTCACTGAGAAGTGGACTACTATCCCATGAAAAGAGAGAGAAAGAAAAAGGGTAAAAAAGAACATTTGAAGATACAGTGGCTGAAAACTCATATTTGATGTAAGCTTTGAATCTACAAATCTAAAATCATTGTTTCGAATAGGATAAACTCAGAGAGATCCACACCAAGATACATTACAATCAAATTGTCAACAGCCAAAAAGAGAGTTTTGTTTATACATCCATCAGAATGATTTCGTAATCTTTGCCCTTTTTTCTATTAGTGTGGTGAATTACATTGTTTGAGTTTTTAAAGTAAGCCAACATTGTATTCCTGGAATAACTCTCACTTGGTTGTAGTGTATTCCCTTTTTTATGTAATGTTAGATTCAATTTACTAGTATTTGCTAAGTGTATTTTCTCCTATGCTTAGAAGATATGCTGGTCTATAATTTTCTTTTCTTGTAGTTTGTGGTGTCTAATTACTTATAGCATTAAGGTTATACTGTCTCATAAAATGAACTGTGAAGGATACTCTCTCTTTTTCTACTTCTAAGGTACATAGTAGTAATGAATTCATATGTTCACTATGTTCACTAAAAAATATGTACATAACTGTTTATTAATGCACTACACATAATGACTAAAACTTCACATAATGGCTAAAACTACACATAATGGCTAAAACTTCCATCCATCAATGGAATGGATAAATAAATTATGGCATATTCATAATATGATGGAATATGATTCAGTCTACTTAAGTGGAATACTGTACATATACATTGGAATAGTATTCATCAGTGAGAATGCACAAACTACAACTACATGGCATACAACCCAACCACAATATGGAAAAAGAAAGCCAAACACAAAAGATGCAATGAACTTTTTGAAAATTCATTGAGCAGTGTAATTATGATTTGTTTACTTTTTTTGATGAGGAAAATTGCTTTACAATGTTGCTTTGGTTTCTGGTGTACAACAATGCAAATCAGTCATTACTATATATGTATATCACCTCCCTCTTGAGCCTCCCTCCACCCCCCCCATCTCACCCCTTTAGGTCATAACAGAGGGCCAGGCTGGTCTCCCTGTGTTATATAGAAACTTCTCACCAGATATCTCTTTTATGCATGGTACTATATATATATGTCAATACTACTCTCTCCATTCACCCCACTCTTTCCTTCCCCCCACTGTGTCCACAGTCTGTTCTCTATAATTCCATCTCCATTTTTTCTCTGCAAATAGGTTCATCGATACCATTTTTCTAGATTCCACATGTATGCATTAATATACAGTATTTATTTTTCTCTTTGAGATTTACTTCACTCTGAATAACAGGCTCTAGGTTCATCCACCTCTCTAGAACTGATTCAAATTCATTCCCTTTATAGCTGAGTAATACTCCATTGTGTATACATACATACATACATATATATATACCACATACCATTTATATATATATATACACACACACACATACACACACACACAGATACACACACACACACACACACACACACATATATATATATATACCACATCTTCTTTATCCATTTATCTGTTGATGGACATCTAGGATGTTTCCATGTCCTAGCTATTGTAAATAGTGCTGCTGTGAACATTAGGTTACATGTGTGTTTTTCAATTATGGTTTTATTTGTTTGCTGTATGTGTGATACTTCAGAATTCTCTTTAAAAATAAACAAAGCAGACTTGAAAAAAGGCAAACAAAATGCTCACATACAAAAATTATAATTACTGAAATCAAAACCAAATGATCAGTTTTGAATTTTCCCAAATTTCTTACCAAAATGGAAGAAATAGAATGATATAAGCAAAAACTCATGAAAACATTTTTAACAAAAACTAGGTGGCAGAGTATTTCCCCAAGAACCCTAGAACACAAACAGGCCAAAATCTCTGACAGAGGTAAGACACAGGTGCAGTCAGCAGTTATGCTGCACATAGCCAGAGAAACAGTTAATTTTGTTATTCCTAACAGCTAGGGAAAGCAGAAATTTATAAGTTTCAGAGAGAGAAATTTTCAATATTGAAAAAATAATTGAAACAAGCAGGAAACATATAAAAAGGTGTTCAGAATCATTAGGCATCTGGTAAATGCAAATTAAACGGGTATTGAGATATCACTACACACACATCAAAATGGCTAAAAATTTTTAATTGACCATACCAAGAGTTGGTACAGAGAAGAAAAAAAGGAGAGTCTCATACATGGCTGGGGGGAACATAAGATACTTGGAAAATTTTGGCAATGTCCACTAATGTTAATGATACTCAGACCTCTCTCCCCCAGGAAAATGATTTCATATAAGTACCAGGAGGTAGGTAGAGAATGTTCGAAATAAAGTTGAATGTAATAGCCCCAAACCAGAAGCTGTATTAGTTATCTCTCAACTTAGCAACTAAACAGCAGTAGCAGCAGCTGCAAATTACCAAAACTTAACTTATTGATCTAAGATTTTAGTGGCCTAAAATAAAGAGAAGAGGCTTAGGTGGGTTATTCTGGCTCAGAGTCCCTCATGAGGCTGGAATAAAGCTATCGGCGGGGGCTTCAATTGTATGAAGGCTCTCTGAGGATGGAGGATCTGCTTCCAAGATGACTCACTCATATGGCTGATGACAGTTCGTCACCACACAGAATTCTCCATAGGACTGCTTGAGTGTTCTCACAACATAGTTGCTGGCTTCCCTCACATCAAATGATCCTAGAGAGAACAAGATAAAAACTGCAGTGTCTTTTATAAACTAAGCTCAGAAGTCACACTGTTATTTCTGCAATAACCTATTGATTGCACCTGTCAGCCCCATTCATTGTGGGAGGAGACTAGACAATTTTGTGATCACCAGAAGGTAGAGATCATTTGGGGGCATCTAGAAGGCAATGGACATGAGTTTGGGTAGGCTCCAGGAGTTGTTGATGGACAGGGCAGCCTGGTGTGCTGCAGTCCATGGGGTCGCAAAGAGTCGGACACGACTGAGCAACTGGACTGAACTGAACTGAACTGAGAAGGCTGGAAAGCACACCATATGTCCACCAATAGTAGTGGTATAGTTGTACATGGGAAACTTTACAGTAATGAAAATAAATGAGGTATAGCTATTCACAACAACATGCTGCTGCTGCTGCTAAGTCGCTTCAGTCATGTCCGACCCTGTGAGACCCCATAGACGGCAGCCCACCAGGCTCCCCTGTCCCTGGGATTCTCCAGGCAAGAACACTGGAGTGAGTTGCCATTTCCTTCTCCAATGTGTGAAAATGAAAGTGAAGTCGCATCTAACTCTTAGACCCCATGGACTGCAGCCTACCAGGGTCCTCTGCCCATGGGATTTTCCAGGCAAGAGTACTGGAGTGGGTTGCCATTGCCTTCTCCCACAACAACATGGATGAATCCTAAAAATATGTTGAATGAAAGAAGCCAGATAAAAAATAATATATACTGTATGATTGCATTCATATGAAGTACAAAAAAGGCAAAATGAAACTATAATATTTAGGGCTCCATACTTAGATAATAAAATTATAAATAGCAAAGAAATGTTTACCATAAAAAGTCAAGATATCTTTAAGGGAGATGAAGTAAGTCTTGGTAGTGGCATAGGTTTCTTCCGGAGTGTTGTGTTAGTCGCTCACTTCTATTCATTAGAAGGGCTGATGCTGAAGCTGAAGCTTCAATATTTTGGCCTCCTGATGTGAAGAGCTGACTCATTAGAGAAGTCCCTGATGCTGGGAAAGATTGAAGCCAGGAGGAGAAGTGGACAACAGAGGATGAAATGTTTGGGTGGCATCACTGACTCAATGGACATGAGTTTGAGCAAGCTCCGGGAAATGGTGAAAGACAGGGAAGTCTGGCGTGCTGCAGTCCATGGGGCCACAGAGCGTGACTGAAAGACAACAACTGAGTTTCTCAGTCATGTCCAACTCTGCGACCCCATGGACTGTGGCCCGCCAGTCTCCTCTGTCCATGGGATTCTCCAGGCAAGAATATTGGAGTGGGTTGCCATTTCCTTCTCCATGGACATGTTTGTTAACTTTATTATAATTCACTAAACTGTACATTTATTTCCATATTCTTTTATATGCTTGGTATAGTTTACAGTTTTTAAAGTTTAACAATTTTTTCCTTATTTATGGAGGTTATGCAGAGATTTATTAAAAAAGAAAATCCCTTATTGTAATTGACATAGAGATTATTTATTTTAAATATTTTAATCCCAACTTATTCCATTTGCAGTAGTCTTCAACTGTGTAACAATAAATACAAATACATCCTATCTTAGGAGTAGCTACATTATTACTACCTCTAATTTCTGCAGTGAATGCCTTCACATTTGTGTTATATAGACATGAATTTCCTCTTTCCTTTATGATGAAGATTGCCTACTCATAAGAGTACTATAACACACACACACCACACAAATACCACACACACACACAGATACACACAACAGGAAAAAGAAACCATACCCAATTCTTATGAACATAGTTTCAGGACAATGTTTAGAAACTGAGTCCTATAGAACATTAGAGTTCATGTAATTCCACTTTGGCAAAGAGCATGTGAGTTATTTTTTCCATGTCTAAAAGTGATTATCTTACCCTCTGCAATTTTTATAAACTGTGAGCAATAAGACCATATTTCATGTGGAAGTAAATCTGTTGAAATACTTAACATGGTCATATATAGTAAAAATGGAATTATGTCATCTTTGTTGTAACTGCATATATTATTTCTCTATTGGTGGTATAACTGGAAAGGGAATTATCGGGGAATTTTGTAAACAGGGCCCTCTCTATTACTCACCTGTCAAATCTTTCCTTTCTTAGGTAACATCATAAACCAGGATCATCAAGGAATCATTGGCTACTACATTCCCAGCAAGGGAATTTGTTGGGGAAAGGTGACTGTTGAAATCATACATTTCTAACATTATCTGTTAATGGAGACCAATGGGAAGCACAGAGATTCAAGCATGTGGAATGGGAACATGATATTTGCAGAGGAGGAGAACTTTTTAAGTTACTTTCCAAAGGCCCCTGTAGTTTGATTGATACTTCTGACCCTAACCTCTAATATTCCATACCTGTCAAGAGAATAGAAATAAAGAACTGTCTCCTCTATTTTTCAACCATCTTTTCCTTCTTCTTTCTAACTTCCCCCTTCCATATCTTTTTGTTCCTAAGCATAAACCTGGCAGGAATTAGGAAGTGATTGGGTGGGTAAAAGGTTCATCTGAGGATACAGCAATAGTAACATCATGATTTTTTTTTTTCTGTTAAAGGTGTTTCGTATTATGGAGGAAGCTAAAACACTATTCAATCTAGTAGACTATTTCATCAGTCAGATAACGTTGGAACAAATCTTCCTGACTTTTGCTAATATTGATAAGGTCAAGAAATAAAGCTGCTATGAGATTCATTTCTGATGCCGAAAGCTCAGCTTCTCTGTACACCAGTGCCAAATTGAATCTTGGAGACAGAGTTTTGGGTGAAGTAGAAAAGAATAGTTTTACTGCTTTGCCAGGTAAAGGAGGCCACAGCAGGCTAATGCCCTCAAATTTCCCAACTTGAAGAAGATAATAAGTTTTATAGTAATTATTCAAGGAGGTTATGATCAGTACACAGACAGTCTTCTGATGGATTAATGTTAAGGTAAGTAGAAGTCAGCATCATCAACCTTCAGCTCCAACTGGTCTGAGGTTATACATGCTTGTGAGCAGCATACTGTCATTAACTATTAACTTTTCCCACCTGGAGGAGGCAAAGATATCGTGTGTACCCACTTATGGGGAAACAGGACCCTGCCCCAAGGCTACCCTTGACTGTTTCTCCCTGGTCTCACAAGATCCCCTCCCTTCCCCAATTAACAACTGCTTGAATCTGCCCACTGGAACTCAGGGAAGGTCATGAAGGCTGAATGAAGGCTGTTTCTTGTAATCAAAGAAATGGGGACGCACAAAATCTTTGTTCTCAGGAGACCCACAGGGCCTTGCTCAGCATCATTTCCAACCAGTGACAACTATGCCTTTCTAGGCTGCTGCCTACAGCTAGGTGCATAGAAGCATCTCTCTCCCGCTGTCTGTCTTTCTCGATCTCACTCTCCCTCCCCTCCCCTCTCTCCTCTCCTCTTCTTTTCTCTTTCTCCCCCCTCCTTCTCCTCCTTCTTCTCTCTCTTCTCCTTCTCATTCCCCTCTTCTTCCCTCTCTCTCCGTGTCTCTGTCTGTCTGTGTGTGTGTGTGTCTCTATCACTCTGTGTGTGTATGTACACAAACTGAAACCCCAAAGAAGAAAGTTTGCAACCTTTGATGATTAGTGTAAGTGACCTGTTGTCAAGAACTGAACTGTGAAGGGTCTGAGATTTTACCCTACCTGTAAATTGTCGAGTTAGTTTACCACAGTTCCATGAATACTGGCAGAAGACACTGGAATCCTAGGTCAACGACACAAGACTTGAGACTTCCCTCGTGGTACAGCAGATAAGAATATATCTGCCAATGCAGGGGACACAGGTTCGACCCCTGGTCTGGGAAGATTCCACATGCCGCAGAGCAACTAAGCCTGTGTACTACAACTACTGATCCTGCACTCTGGAGCCCACAAACCACTACTATTGAGCCTACATGCTGCAACGACTGAAGCCTGTGTGCCTACAGCCTTTACTCCACAAGAGAAGCCACCACAATGAGAAGCCCTCACACTGCAACCAAGAGTAATCCCCACTCACCACAACTAGAGAAAGCCCACACATAGCAACAAAGACCCTATGCAAGTCAAAAAAAAAAAAAAAAAGACACTAGACTTTGTTACTCACAGCAGTAACAGTAGGCAGAGATCATATTTGTGTCAGTTCCCCAATCCTACCTGTTTATTCAAAGGGTTGTGTTACAGGAGAGGAACCCTGAGCTTCTGGAACTCAAATCTTCATAATGGGCAGTCAGTAAACCTGCCTAACATGTGCTCTGGAAGTAAACCTTTTATTATTCTGAACATTAAGTAAACCTTTCCTCTGGTCCAGAGGGAGATGTTGTCTCTTGTCAAAAGCCATTTGCTCTATAATCATCCTTGCAAAATCCTTGCAAAAAAAAAAAAATCCATGCAAAACAATAAGGCAGTTAATACATTTTCTTGAAAATCATACAGAAACACAAAAGACCCATGAAAAATTGTCTCCCAATAATATCTACCATCTTGACTTCTAGCATATTTCCCATTGAGTATACTACCCCATCAGCTACTCTGGTTAATCTGAGATTTGGACCAAATTTATTTGGTTCATATTTATTTAATTCACCTCATACAATTGTTAAGACTACTATCAGTAGAACTTTAAGCAACATGATGAGGCTAACCTACAGTATTTGACCTTATCCATGCCTCCCGGGTCTCAGACACAACTAGATGAACAAATCCTATAAACCAATTTAGTTAACCTTAGAAAATCAAGTGGCTTTCCCACATTTCAGTATTCACCATTTCACTTGTACTGAGGCCCTGATTCATGAATAGCCCAATGTAATAGTAATTACACTGACTCCATGCTGGCCTGAAAAAAGAAAATCTCAGGAAGTTCTACCACTCTAAACCACCTTGGTCATGAGAGTCTGATTTAACTGCCTTCCTAAATGCCTGCTCTCTTATGACCATCTCAAAGGAGGGAGGCAATGTTTTTTGAAGGGAAGCAAGTTGATGGCTCGATTTCATACAGTAATACAATTATGTGGGTACAACTGGTATCCCTGGAAAGTTTTTCAATTGTTCATGCCCACAGTGGGACCCATCTCAGTCAGACATCACACAGGTTCACAGTGCCTCAAACATATCCTTCTGGCCAGTTTATAAACATTAAGATTCTCAGTTTGGTATAAATAATTGAATCTTGCCTTTGCCTTTTGAGAGACTATTTGAGGACTATGAATGCAACCCATTCACTTGTCTATACCAACAACAGAAGGCATTTAGCTGTCCCCATCGAAAGATAGAACAATGGCTACAAAAGAAGGGATGGGTAAGACATGGGTGTTGACAAGTGTATTACATGGGAAGTGGAGCCATCCACTGGTATTTCCAGTATGCTTATCATTAATGTTAAGGAGTTACTGTTGTTCAGTTGTTCAGTCATGTCCAACTCTTTGCAACCCCATGGACTGCAGTGCGCCAGGCTTCCCTGTCCTTCACTATCTCCTGGAGTTTGCTCAAACTCATGTCCATTGAGTAAATGATGCCATCCAACCGGCTCATCTTCTGTTATCTTCTTCTCATGCCCTCAATCTTTCCCAGCATCAAGGTCTTTTCCAATGAGTCAGCTCTTTGCATCAGGTGACCAAAGAATTGGAGCTTCACATTCAGCATCAGCCCTTCCAATGAATATTCAGTGTTGATTACCTGAATATTGACTGGTTTAAATCTCCTTGCTGCCCTAGGGACTCTAAAGAGTTTTCTCTAGCACCACAATTCAAAAGCATCAGTTTTTCAGTGCTCTAGCCTTCTTTATGGTCCAACTCTCACATCCATACATGACTACAGAAAAAACCGTAGCTTTAACTATATGGACCTTTGCTGGCAAAGTGATGTCTCTGCTTTTTACTATTCTATTCAAGTTTGTCATAGCTTTCTTCCAAGGAGCAAGTGTCTTTTAATCTCATGGTTGCAGTCAACATCTGCAGTTATTTTGGAGCCCAAGAAAATAAAGTCTGTCACGATTTCCATTGTTTCCCTGTATATTTGCCATGAAGTGATGGGACCGGATGCCATGATCTTGGTTTCTTGAGTGCTGAGTTTTAAGCCAGTCTTTCACTCTCCTCTTTCACCCTCATCAAGAGGCTCTTTAGTTCCTCTTTACTTTGCGCCAAAAGGGTGGTGTTAGCTACATATCTAGGGTTATTGATATTTCTCCCAGCAATCTTGATTCCAGCTTGTGCTTCCTGGAAAAAATCCACCTGGCATTTCATATGACGTACTCCGCATATAAGTTAAATAGGCAGGGTGACAATATACAGCCTTGACATACTCCTTTCCCAATTTGGAACCAGTCTGTTGTTCCATGTCTGGTTCTAACTGTTGCTTCTTGACCTGCATACAGGTTTTGCAGGAGGCAGGTAAGGTGGCCTGGTAGTCCCATCTCTTTAAGAATTTTCCAGTTTGTTGTGATCCACACACTCAAAGGCTTTAGTGTAGTCAGTGAAGCAGAAGTAGATGTTTTTTTCTGGAATTCTCTTGCTTTCTCCATAATCCAACAACTGTTGGCAATTTAATCTCTGGTTCCTCTGCCTTTCTAAATCCAGCTTATACATCTGGAAGTTCTCAATTCACTGACTGGTGAAGGTTAGCTTAAAGGATTTTGAGCATTACTTTGCTAGCATGTGAAATAAGCACATTTGTGCAGTAGTTTAAACTTTCTTTGGCATTGCCCTTCTTTAGGATTTGAATGAAAACTGATCTTTTCCAGTCCTGTAGTCACTGCTGAGTTTTCCAAATTTGCTAGCGTATTGAGTGC